ACACCAAAGATGAACGAAGACATTTGGGATAACGTTGCAACATTGGACTCGGTTGCTTGGGATAGCAACATGGACCTAGCTTGTGATAGTCCACACCAAGGACGAATGAAGATGTTTGAAAAAATGACTCAATACTGAACTTCGTTGCACAAATACCAACACCGAAAGCGTTTGGGACAACGTATCAACAAAGTATCGGCAACAATATTTTCTCATTTGCTTGTGATAAACAATTTAATCTGGTTTGTGATAACCATGAAACAGTACTGTAAGTTTCAACATGGCTGGCTAGGAAGTTGTTAAGATATATTTTTCCTTGTTACCAGATAGAGATTAGGTATGTTATACGAGGTTAGCGTTACATTTCGCTTGTGATGGCAGATTCGATCTGGTTTATGCTAACCCTGGAACAGCATAGTAAGAATGCACAAGACAGTTTAGGAAACTGCCGAAGTACCATTTTTCATTAATAACAAATAGAGACTAGGTTCATATATGCGAGACTAGCGTTACATTTTGTTTGAGATAGCAAATCCCATCTAGTTTGTAATAGCAATGTAGCAATATAGCATTTTTCATTTATAACAGATAAAAAGTGGGTACATCTACGCGAGACTAGAGCGGTACATTTTGCTTGGGATAGCAATGTCCATCTGGTTTGTGATAACTATGGAAGAATATTGTAAGGATGCACATGAGAAGTTAGGAAGAAGCCGAAGTACCGTTTTGCATTAATGAACGGTAGAGATTAGCAAGCATCTATGCGAGACCAGCGTTACATATTGCTTGTGATAGCAAATTCCACGTCGTTTGTGATGACCGTGGAACAGGTGTGTAACTATGAACATGTCAGGCTAGAAAACCGCCAATGTATATCTTTTTCTTATCAGCATATAAAGAATAGGCACCTTATGCGAGGTTAGCATTACATTTAGCCTGTGATAGCAAATTTCATTTGGTTTGTGATAACCTTGGAATATAATAATAATAATAATAATAATAATGTTCTTTATTTTCCCATCATATACGTACATTTTACACACCCATGAGAAACAAAATCATGATATTGGGAAAACCTCAAGGGGAGTTCACTTAGAGGTGTTCTTCCACTCAACCCTTGCCAGTAGTAGAATACATGTAAAAAAAGTATCCTAACCTAACACTAACCAAAAAACACACATAGGGTCACCTAAATTAAACTTGGAAGTTGTAGTAATTTAATTGGTCATAAAGTAATCCGAAACTAGTTCCTTAAATTTATGTGGATTGCATGATTTAAGATAATAAAGAAGAGAATTATAATATTTAGCAATTGTAAATTTGAAGTTTCTTTCAAAAAGAACTGTCATGTGAGATGGTATATTGATCAGGTGCTTAAGTCTCGTGTCAAGATTATGGACATCTGCGTGAAATGACACCTTTTGGTAGAGATAGGGATGGTTCTTATAATACAGTATCTTGTGAAATAAGCAGGGAGCATATAAGCGCAATCTTTTCTCCAAGTTTAGCCAATTAAATTCCTTCAATTAGTGGGAAACGTGCTCATACTTTTTAATCCCTTATATGAGTCGAATGCACGAGTTCTGTACACGTTGAATACGATTAACGCTGTTTCAATCTAAACATGGACCAAATATCACAACACAACAGTATATAAATTGTGAAAGTACAAGCGTATCGCACAATGATGATCTATGGGGATATAGTTAATTTAGCGATGCGTATGTTCTCTGTATGCATTTCGTTATGTGATCCCTGAACCTTAGATCCTGATCAATGAGTAAGCCCAGATTCTTTCCCTTACATTTAATTTCAAGCCACAGACTTTTTAGGATTTAGTTGGAGTGAATGCCTTGCAGAAATATCTGCCAGAGTAGCAAGATCTTGATTAATTTGGTTATTCACTATTTTCCAGTCAGTCATCGAGAAAGAACGATATACCTGTGTGTCATCCGCATACATATGTGCTGAGCTGGTTTTAATAAACTTGGTAAACTGACTGGTGTACAATGTGAAAAGCAATGGTGCCAACACAGAACCTTGCGGCACACTCGATTTGATTGTCAGGGATGTAGATTTTCGAGAACCAGGCTTGGCTGTTTGACTACGATTTTTCAAGTACGATTTGAAAAGCTGCAAAGGCTCAAAACATGCTCCGCATGATTTTAAGATAGCTAAAAGTGATACATGCTCTATCGTCTCGAAAGCCTTACTAAAATCTAACAGCTCAAGGACGGTTGACCGGTCCTGGTCTAACGACTGTATTATATCGCCTGTTATACGAAGCAGTGCAGTTGCACAGCTGAAACCTGCTCGAAATCCCGACTGCGTGGAAGGGAGGATACTATTTGTGTTTAAATAATCAATAAGTTGTTTTGCTAATAATTTTTCTACAAGCTTAGACAGTCCGCATAAAATACTTATTGCTCCTAAATCTGAGGATTATTAGTTTTAGGGATCGGTGTAATATTCGCATTTTTCCAGACAGAAGGAAATGTTGATGTTACTATTACCGAATTGATAATGTTTACTAAGAAAGGCAAAATACACGGACAACATAGCTTGATCAGGGATATAGATATGTCATGAGAGCCCGGAGATGCGTTTCTTATAGTCGTGAGTGTATTCAACTCTATTAACTTATAGACTAGATTGAAATGGAATTCATTTGCATAAATTCTGTTTTGTATATAGAAGTCATTCATCAAGTTATTACAACTTTTTGGAATACAATTAAGGAAATAGTTATTAATTTCATCAGGATCTTTAAATATGTCCTTTACATGTTGTTTAGCATTGGAATTAATATTTATAGTTTTCAACACTCTCCACAAGTCTGTACTGTTTTTGTTGAAAGAAAGGTTTTCGAAATATCGCCTTTTTTGTTGAGCAATTTTGTTATTGACTAAATTTTTCAATCGTTCATATTCCATGAAATTTTCCTCTGAATGCGTTTTCCTAACTTTAATACTGGCTCTATCCGTATCAGCTATAGCTATCCATGGTGCTTTTCTTCTTGTAATTTTAACAGATCTCAACGGAATGTGTTTGTTGAATACATTTAAAATGATTTTCTTGAATTTTTCTATTTTTAAATCCACATTATGAATACCGAATATTTCCTCAAGGTGTGAGTTTGTTAGCTCATTTCTGAAAGCACACTCACCGAATTTACTAAAATCACGATAAGTATAAAATTGGGGCTGCACTCTAGGCTTATCACATTTTAGCTGACAACCCATGCACTCGTGCATTGAAAACTGTGAAGGATATACAAATACTGAAGTAACAAAAGATTCATTATTGCAAATAAGTGCATCTAGTAATGATTCAGACTGAGGAGTGATATGTGTAGATTCAGTGATCATCTGGTTCAATTGTAGCGACGATAACATACAATGAAGGTATTCAGTTGCTGGACATGCAACATTTAAAAAATTAACATTTTCATCACCAACACAAACAATATTATGCGCATAAGACATAGCGATTGTAATTGATGTCTCCAAAGAATCAATAAAATGCTTATAATTAGTTTGAGGAGGCTTGTATACTGCACCAACCACAAAACTGCACCTATTATAAACTAGCTTAACAAATAGTTGATCTATATCACAGCTTACTTTTGTCACGTCATACTTGATCTTAACAGAAATATATAACAGACCACCACCACCTCTACCAGAATTTCGATCTTTCCTGATCGAATTGTACCTTTCAATCATTAAATTATCAGAACTGACTTGATCATTTAGCCACGTTTCCGAAATAGTCAAAATGTCGAATTGTTTCTCTTCTAAAAGGAGCTTGGTTCAGTTTGGAAACTAGTGATTTTATATTTAAGTGACCCAATAGACACATATCTCTCATAGCTTAAGTGACTATTCTAAGACTAACCGCAAAATGTCAAATAAACACTATCGGTACACAAAAGACACTTATCAACACAGTCAGTAGGAAAAAAGTTAGACATTATACAGTACCTTTTCCACTTCTGTTTCAGTTTTGGCAAAAATATTACCGTTCCGTGTCCATACATTTCTAAATCCATATCTTTCAGCTGCCTCCTTAACCAAGTTCAGACGTAATTGAGTGATTTTCTTTGATTATCACACCAGTACCTTTCAGCGACTTCTTCTTATTGTAAATGCTGCTCTTGATAACATTACTTTTAAAAGCGACCATCAAATCCCTTGGCCGACCAGAAGTGTTTTGGCTCACCCTGTATGCAGCAACAATATCACTCTCGTCTACATCGACCTTCAATTTCTCTGCAAGAAAATTCTCTCACCTTTGTTGTGGTATTTCCATTGGCAACCTCCATCACTCCAAAAAATCGAAGATTATTGTTTTTAGACTGTTGCTGTGCTCGTATATGATCGAGTTTTTGTTCCAATTTGTTTTCATTCGTTGCAACCTGGCTATTATTACTTGTTTTCAGTAGATTGATCTCAGCTTCAAGAGATGCAATTTTGGCATCGTAATAGTCGAACTTTTCAGAGAGTTTCTTTGTTATGTTGGTAATGATAGCCTCGCTAATTGCATTTGCAATATTATTTGATCTCAGAGCCTCCACGAACGATCTCTCAAACTCTGCCTGGTTTCTGGTTGGCATTATGAAAATCGAATATATACACCGACTGATAAAAATTTGAAGAGTGGATTTTACTAGCACTCAACAAACTGTGTTTTGGAGAGATGTTCACACTCGTCTACACTCGGCGACGGTCATGGTACGGTCTTTGTCAGAATGCACATGACAGTTTAGGAAACCAGTAAAGTACCATTTTTCGTTAATAACAGATAGAGATTAGGTTTTATCAATGCGAGACTAGCGTTACATTTTGCTTGTGATGGCAAATTCCTTATGGTTTGGAATAGCCATCGAACAGGTCAATAATATGCACATGACAGGTTACGAAACACCTGAAGTACTATTTCTCATTAACAACATATAGAAATTAGGTACATCTATGGTAGACTAGCGTTACATTTTGCTTGTGATAGCAAATTCCACATGGCATCAGGCAGCAGCGGTGGCCGCAGTAGCAGACTCTTCGGTCTCCTGATCAGTCGCTGTGCGGGTTCGAATCCCGTCCCAGGAGAAATTTTTCTCTTGGCTATGGATATTATGTTTGTCCGTAGGTGGTAGATGGTCTCTGACTGTCGAATGCGAAGGTACCACCCGGCGGATGTCGTAGGCGGGGCCAGAATGTGTGCATGTTGCATGCACACGTGTTCCCTCGCCAGAGTCTGTGTGGCGTTCCCCCTTTCCCCTGTATCCCCCTATAGCCCCACGGTAGCCCATGGGTGTTTAGGCCCTAGGCCTTCGTGGTGGTTGGAGTACAAAAAAATGGCTGGTGATAACTATGGAAAAGGACTGTAAGTATGAAAATCTCCGGTTAGGAAACCACCAAAGCTCTAATGCTAGGTAACAACGGAAGTTAAATATCATTATGCCCGATTAACGTTACATTTTGCATCGGTGGCACTCGAACAGCAGGGCGCTCTGGATTGTGCTGTCTTAAAGGCCATGTAGTCTGTGCAATAGATGACGCATCATCACGATGATGCGGCGACCTTAGTATAATTGATGTTCACGCGTTGTTCCAAGGCTGATATTTTGAGGGCAGATCTTGTTGATGACGATATATGAATAAATTCTGTTGTATTCTAGCCGCCTAAGGTGAACCCTGAGCTAACGGAAGCCATAATAGAAATTGTCGCAAGCAAGGATGCGTGCTTGGACTGTGTATACCAACATGTGAGCTGTTCATTAACTAGGTTCAAAGAAGGGAGAGGAGTGCATGCTGGCAGATATTCACATTAAAGCAAAGCTAAGCTAACTGAAAATCAGCACCTATCCAACTTTTTCTTGCCCCCAAGTCTGATGGGTCAACACGTTTGATTCCTTACCTCAAGACTGTTTGTTTATAGGGATATAACACTTGAGTCTAGGCTATTGAACTGGGATCAGACTTCTCCGTAGAGATTAGAGGAGTCTCTAGTTTTTGGTCACCCGAGAAGATCCCGCATGATAATCATCCAGAACAACTGGTAGTTTTCTTCTGTGGTGAATGCTTTGCTACCGAATTGATGGGGTGTCGCATATTATACCCCATCCTACATCAATAGAACGGAGAGCTTCTGGTTTCCACGTCTCGACCAGGTTGCGGGAAAACTATGGCAATTGTGTAAAGAGAGAAATCTTACTGCCTTCGCGTCAAATATAAAATCTAGGAGTAATACTGGTGGGAACTGCACCTGTCACCGTCCTGATTTTGATTCAAGTATTCGGTGTTTCTGAAATTTCACTTCTAGAAGTAACGCAAGGAACTGATGGAGGGACCCAGGACGCCGCTTCCAATGATTCTGAAGCTTACCCTGATTATCGTCACTAGAAAGCTGTCATTCCAATCAACATCGATAATCCATCATGTATTATGGGCTTAGACTACGCTAGGACCTTTGTCGGGAGGAAATACATGTCTGGCATCCTACCTTGAAATTTCTTACCTTGCAGGTGATAAGAGATCAAGATATAATTGTTTGAGCTATCAGTCTTTTACCCAAAATGTTACTAACGATGCAGATATAAGATGGATTATGAAGGGCATTTGCAGGCTGAGGCCATCTCAACTGAGATACAGTCACTGTGGTTGTTCGCAACCAACCAAAAGGGTTGCTGGTAGGCTCTGTAGATATTTGGATGAGGAAATCAGAAACACTGTTAGCTCTAACCTCAGGTCAGACTGTGCAAACTAATTGAAACAGACAACATCCGGATTGGGTTGAATAATACTGAAATTGGGATTTCTCAGTTTCTAAAAGTCTCGGGGTCACTCAAGTGGCAACCACATAAGTTTTACTGTATTTTATGCCCAAATATCTGTGCAAAGCATTTATTTGTCACTGTACAGTAACTTTATCATGGTGCCTCGGCTCCCAGATGGATGAAGTCGGTTTTAGCAGAGAGTGTCACAATTGACAACCCACAGTACATGAAATGCGTCTACCTCTCCGCCTGCTAATTTATAGTAGTCTCAGGCTCGTGGCGGGCTGGACTGCGTTTTCCGAGATACGTCACAAATCTCTTATGCCAAACAATAGCTTTGCTCAAGCGGCATTTGAGGTGAACCTAGTCTCCACACCTTAAACATAACTATGTTATTACGTTATTTGCTCATTACCATGAAATGGATAGTAATTTTTGAACCAGGTACGTCATATTACCTGTTGCTAAAAGCCTTAACTTGAATTGTTACAATGGAAATGTACATTTAGTTGACACATGCATTGCGTATAATTTGTGTAGTTGTGTACAACCATGGTTTACTATTGCAGAGCGTTAATAGTATGTTGTTGCAACTAGCTTTGAACATCTACCATACGCATTCTGAATATTTACTTCGACGAGGACAGAACATAATTACGCGATCAAACGAACTTACCTGTAAGTGATGCTCGATCTTAATTATGTGAACTCCTCGTCGAAGTAAATAGCTCCCTCTCCCCCTATGAATCACCCAATCGTTGCAACAACTTGGCTTTGAAGTAAATGAAGGTTTATAGGCGGCCAGAGGGGAGAAAAGCAGGGAGAGGGGACGCGGTGGTGGTTGGCTACTACTACGAGGGTACTACGATATATATTCTAAATATTTACTTCGACGAGAACTTCATATAATTAAGATCGAATATCACTTACAGGTAAGTTCTTTTGATCGTGTAATTATATATAAAAATGTTTCGTCAGAACGACAAATGAGTAATCGTGTAACACACTAGATCATTTTTCGTAATTTATACCTCATTGTATGACAACATAATGTGTAGGAACAAAAAACTTTCGTTAGAAAAATGTGCTCTGTATTTTGGGTGGAGATTTCAATAGTATCATAAACAATTCTTGAGTGCAGTGGATGCTTCGATTCCAAATCCAATGTTAGTTTGACGCTAGAATCCATAAGGGTGCCAAAACAACAAAGGCTCGTTCCCCATATACACCGGGACCGTGAATTACTAAACCGATAATTTATTTTTTACGTAAAAACGATTTTTTTTTTAAATTGCGTGAAATATTTTTATGAAACCAAGCTATAACCAAAAATGCTCAATAGTATATCTCTCACAGCTGGCTCACCTAAACTATTGCTATGTCGATACGGCAGTTTTCTTATACAGTTTTCCTAGCCAAAAAAGTCCCATTTTCATCTTTACGCATTTATATTTGGATGTCCATTTTACAACTGATCCTCAGTCTTTCTAGTACACTCGTTGTTTCTTTTTATCTAACATATTTTGTATCCAGTATATTGAAAAATGCGAAATGTTAGCTATAGCTTTGAACTATTTCATCAGCGTGAGTGGTGGTAAACTGTCATCATAGGACCAGTTTTCCTGCTTTCTACATCATTTGGAGCTGCTTCATGAACAACATATTCAGACAGTTACGTGAACGATATTTCTGATCTGAATAATCATTTGGCTTTCCTCCATTTACTTTCATCCTTAGGTACTGATATTTCCCTGAGATGTCTTGCAATTGAGCATCCATTTTTCCAATTTGCTTCATTTTCTTCTGACACCATTGTTATATTATTTGTATTCAGAATTTGTTTATAGGGACATTTGACCGGCAAAACATGATCTATCACTATATGAATTTTCAGTAAAATTGACCGGTGGTCAAATCCCATATGTTTTGTGCCGTGTACCTTATTAACCATGCCCAGGTCATCATTATTAACAAAACTGTACGATTTTTATCGGTAATATTATAAATTATATTGGCAGATATGCTGATCTTAATTAAAGCAAGAAAAATTTTAATAAGGTCAATTAAAAATTTAATTAACCATTTGACTGCTAATAAGATTCATTAGTTTAATTAAACTCCAATTCATAAATCAGTTTACTTGGATATAGGAAACTTTTTTAATTAAAATTTATAAACTGTTTACTTAAATTGAGTACGCCAAAAATATGTTTCCTGAAAAAGATAAGGAACCTCTGAAACATCAAAATCAAAGTTTGAGCGATTTAACTTCGTTAAATATTTTTGGGACTAGCTCCTCAAAGAGAACATAATATACCCGAGTTAAAATTCTGTTACTAAAAGAAGGTGTTGGCATTCAGATATAATAGAACATTAAAGATGTCTTAGAATCATCTACTTCTTCGATCTTCCTAAAGATATTTTGACACAAGTGTTGTATAGTATTTTGTATCAAAGATGATTGAAACCTCATTATTATTTATATCAAAATATGAGGCTGCTAGGGAAACGTCATGATAGAATCAGTGAGTCAGCATTACATCATGTAAACAATGATTGTTTGAAATTTGTCAAAATATCTGAGATACATTATATTTTATTTTTAAAAGGTAGTTCAACTGAAATAGTTGCTATCCGTCTAACTATTACTATTGCCAGAAGCGTTAGTAGGTGAAGCATCACGATAGAATCTGTTACTGTGTTTACACCATTACAAATTAGATGCTCCAGAATTTTGTATTTTAGTTTCAAAAATGTGTGCAATTCTTCAGGTGCGTTTCTAATTTAACAATATCATTTTAATAGCGTTGTTTAAAATATGTGAATAATTTTTGGGACTGACTCCTGCGAACAGTACACAACTTACCTGAAATACAGTCCTGTTCCTAAAACACTGGTCGTCTGATTACGGGATTGATATTCAGTTATCATAGAACATGGTCCAAATATGTCTTAAAAGCATCTACTTCTTCGATCTCTCTCATCATGTTCTGAAACAAATGTTGTATGGTATTTTATATTAAAGATGATTGAGAAGCTCCTCACTAATATTCTTATCAGAATATCAGAATGTTAGAGAGACGGCATGATATAATCAGTAAGTCAGCTTTCTACGTCATGTAAAAAAGGAATCTTTGAAATTTTGTAAAACATCTAAGATGAATTAGATTTTACTTTTAAAAATTATAAATTTTTTGTTAGTTTCAAAAAAGTGTAGAATTCTTCAGAAGCATACATTACTTACCTGAAGTATAGTTCTGTTACTAAAACAGCGGTTGTCTGATTAAGGTATTGATATTCAAATATAATAGAACATAACCTCCTGGGAGCATCTACTTCTTCGACCTTCGTCATCATTTTCTAAAACAAATATTTAGTATATTGTATTAAAAATGATTGAAAATTTCCTCATTATTGTTGTTATCAAAACGTCAGATTGCTAGGGAAATGTCATGATAGGATCAGTAAGTTCTACATCATTTTTG